TGATCACACCACTGTACTCCAGTGTGGGCAAAAGAGCAAGACCTGTCCCTGTCTCTCTCTCTCTCCCTCTCTCTTTCTTACTCACACACACACATACCAAATGAAAAGACAACCCATAGAAGAGAGAAAATATTTGCAAGTCATTTGTGTAATAAGGAACTTGCAACCAGATTTTAAAGAACTGTTACAAGTCAATAGTAAAAAGATAGATAAACATAATCTTTTAAATGGGCAAAAGATCTGAGTAGACATATCTCCAAGAAAGATATACAAATGGTCAATCAGTACATGAAAAGATGGTTAACCATCATTAATCATCAGGGAAATGCAAAACACACACTAAGATGCTATTTCACATTCACTAGGATAAGTAGGATCAAAAAGTCAGAAAATAGCCAGGTGCAGTGGCTCATGCCTAAAATCCTAGCACTTTAAAAGGCCGAGGTGGGAGAACTGCTTGAGGGGAGGAGTTCAAGACCATCCTTGGCAACATAGTGAAACCTCAACCCCATCTCTACTAATAATTAAAAAAAAAAAAGAGCCCAGGTGTGGTGGTACACACCTGCAGCCCTAGCTACTTGGAAGGCTGAGGCAGGAGCCCAGGAGTTTGAGGTTGCAGTGAGCTATCATGGTACCACTGCTGGAAACAGCATGAGACCCTGTTTCTAAAAAGAAAGAAAAAGAAGTCAGAAACTAACAAGTGTTGGCAAGAAGCTGGAGAAACTGGAACCCTCATACACTGTTGACAGGAACGTAGAATGGTACGGCCATTGTGGAAAAGTCTGGCAGTTCCTCAAATGATTAAACAGAGTGAGCTTTTAACTCAGCAATTCCATTCCTAGATACATACCCGAGAGAAATAAATACATGTGCCCACAGAGAAACTTCGACATGGATGTTTACAGGAGCATTATCCATAATAGTCAAAGAGTGGAAACAACCCAAATGTCCATCAACTGATGAACAGATAAACAAAATGTGATAAATCTATAAAATGGACTATTATTTGGTCATATAAAGGAACAAAGTACTTATACATGCTACAACATGATCAACCTTGAAAACATTATGCTAAGTGAAAGAAACCAGTCATAAAAGACCACATATTATATAAATCCATTCATACAAACATCCACAACAGGGAGATCTATAGGGACAGAAAACAGATTAGTGGTTACTCTGTGCAGAGGGAAGAGAATGAGAAGGGGATAGCAAAGGGTATGGGGCTTCTTTTTGAGATGATGAAAATGTTCTAAAGTTGGCTGTGGTAATGGTTGCCACTGAATTGTGCACTTTAAAAGCGTGAATTTCATGGTAGGTGAATTAAACCTCAATAAAGTTGTCTTTTTAAAAAGCAGAAGAGGGCCGGGCACAGTGGCTCACGCCTGTAATCCTAGCACTCTGGGAGGCCGAGGCGGGTGGATCGCTCAAGGTCAGGAGTTCGAGACCAGCCTGAGAAAGAGCGAGACCCCGTCTCTACTAAAAAGAGAAAGAAATTAATCGGACAACTAAAAATATACAGAAAAAATTAGCC